CCGTGAATGTACACCCCCCAGTCCTGACAACATCAGATATTGCACAACTGACCTCTATACAGCGTGTGTCGTGTGGTGTTTTCTACATTACTCCATAGCTGACCGCTTAGACCAGCGGTTCTCAACTGGTGGGTGGCGACCCTTTTGGGAGTCCAACGATCCTTTCACAGGGGTCGACTGCCACCATCGAAAAACACATACTCGCTGAAGTTATAAAGTAGCAACAAAATTAATTATATTATTAGGAGGCCCCACAACACGAGGAACTGTATTAAAGGGTCACTGCAATCTCTGAAACCATGAGTTCTTAACCCTTTGGCTCGGCACTATGGAAATCGCAACCCTTCGGCCTTGATTCCATAAAAGTGGAGAGCCTCTAGTCTAGACAAAGTGCATGTGACGTGTGCAGTTTCATGCCTAGCTCCACAACTGACAAATTAGACATGATGTTTCTCATGTGGTATTTCTTACTTAACACCATTGTTAACAGCCTAGTCACGGTGTGGATGTCGTGTGATGTGTCCTAAATATTTTTTTTTTATAAAAAAGAAATTGAAAAAGTATGTATCATTTGGTATTTCATACATAAGGCCATAGCTGACCGTCTAGACAAGATGTGTGCCGTGTGATGTGTCCTAAAAATATTTTTTCATAGAGAAATTGCACAATCACACACACAGCAAGAGCATGTTTCTTTCTTTGTAAAGAATGTTTCGCAAATCATCTTACATCAAGTGGATTTTTGGCCTGCTCGTTCTCCAAACTTAACTCCAATAGATTAGCTTCTATGGGGTTTCTTGAAAGGAAATGTCTACAAAATAATGCACGCAGCGTTAAGGACCTGAAAGCAACAATTAGAATTAACATTCAAGACCTAACAAAGGAAAATTGCAGAATATATTTGACAATAAAAAAAGACGTGTACAATCATGTCTTGAAACCCGTTATGGACATTTCCAAGACATTTTCCAGTAAATTATTTATTGTACTTTCCAGTTTCCCCAATACAGCATTAGATCATAGCAGTTGCTAATTTAATTTTATTTTGAGTACATCTTTTGATGACTTCATGCACTTGCGTTTTTCAAGGTTTTTTTTTTTTTACATACGAAGTGCAGTGAGACTTTACGAACACCCTATTCTTATCCGTGCTGTACTGGCTGTTAACCTTAGCTCTCTTGTCGACCCAGCCTTGAATAGCCACCAGGTGAAATCCTGCTAAGGCGACCGGCGTGATGCTGACCACATGACCCACAGAGTTCCAAGGGGTCTATAAAATATAGCTCTAGCCCTGTCTGCCAAATAGGCCTGAACGCGTGGAAAGGGTCCTTTACTCTACTTTTATACTGGCTGTATGAAAATCTTGGCATCTGACTGTGCTACCTCTCCGTCATGTCCAACAGACATTTTGAGCTCAGACTATGGACTGGGGACCATCCTTGGTCTCCCTTTCCTGATACTCGCCGTCCTTTTGATAGCCATCGCGTTCTGGGTGCTGACAAGGAAGAGACGTTCGACATCTGGGACACCAGAAAAACTGCAGCAGGAATAGACCTCTGCCATGATCGTGCATGCACAAGGGCATCTGCTGCTCCCATCTACAGGTAGACATGCTGTGTCTGATCTCTTTCAGTCCTAGACAGTTGTTGCCTCAACTCTCGTTATATTTTACGATGTTACACGTCCAAGTATTAAATGTTTATATACGAAGTAGTTACACAAGATACATTGTGTGACTGAATCTACATTGTGTGACTGAATCAGCTATGTGCACATGTGAAAAGGTGCACCCAGACAGCAGAACACGTACTTCAGAACTCCATCGAATATGACACATTAAGGCAAACCTTTTGGTCAGAAAGAACAATAGCGAAACGAAAACTATACGGATCACTAAATGAATTAATAACGACAGTGACCTTTATAAGAGAGGCATAATTGCCGATAGAGACAACGTTTTTTCTTGCGAAGAAGCAGAAAAAAAATGGCAAACTTAGCATCAAATGAAGTGTATTAAGGTAGCATTAATCTGTTACAGAGGAATGCAAGAACGATGTGTTGTCTTTAGGGTAATTAAGCAAAGCATGATCAGTTGACGGTTTTTGAAAGACCAATTATCAGTCTGTGACATTTGCCTCTCAGTCGGTCATAATCTATTTGCCAGTCAATGATCTGTCTGTCTATCAATTATTCATAGGTATGTGTCTGTGACATTTGCCTCGCAGTAGGGGTGTGCTGGTGGGTAGATGAGCGTAAACTTTACCATGGGCCAATAGGCAGCAGAACAGCTGAGGAGAGAACTGAGCAGAGAGAGAGAGAGAGAGAGAGAGAGAGAGAGAGAGAGAGAGAGAGAGAGAGAGAGAGAGAGAGAGAGAGAGAGCTGTGTCCTCAGTTGTGAGGAACTTGTCTTGGGTAACGACGTTTGTTAGGGTTTGTTACTGAAACAAGACAACCGATTCTACTTACGAGAAGTGACCCTCGTTGATCTCGGCTATCAGCTGTGTGCTTATGGGACTCAGATTTGGAATCTCAGCCGGTCATTGTAGAATTCCTCGACGTGGCTGACTTGCTGTGTGCATATTGTAGAACTTTAGTATTTTAAAAGTTCCAAGTCAGCCAATATGAAAGTGCCTGTTACCGAGTATAGCAACGGAGG